GATTTCATGAAGGATGAGCTGGTTAATAAATACGGCAAAGTGTACGGGAGCAACTGGTTGGTCACCGTAGGCGTTGGCAAGTACTACGACCTGTCCTATAGTGTTAAGGGCGCTAAACAGCGAAAGTTTTTAGACTTTGTCATAAACGAGCTCAGATTCACTGTATTTCAGACATTATAACTAATGATCATGGTTGCCATAAATAAATAATAGTGTACCGTATTGTATTTACTTAATTATATTAAATTTAAACTATCTAAATTGAGATTTATTAATTAATAAAATTTGAATTAAATTTAATATAAAATGTTTCTTTTGTGTAATCTTTATATGAAAAGTATGATCAAAAATTTAAATCATAATTAATTTCTATTGGTTTTGATTAGTAATTAACAATGTTATTTCTAATTAGATTTTAGATAAATATATGTAGTTTTGTAATAATAAATCTATTAACAAATTGCTCATGTAATATTAAAATAGTTGTGATATGAATACGTGACAATAATTGAAATTTATTTTAAATATTTTTACGTCAATACATAGACAATTAAGTAGATATTATAATCTCTCTCTCTCTCTCTCTCTCTCTCTCTAAAAAATTAATAATTTTTTGGTTAATATTTATTTCATGACATAATAATCTCGCAATCGATTAGTATATTAACAAAAATAGTTTGCACATAAAAGTTAGACCGCATTTAAAAACAAACTGTAAAACAAACACAAAATGTAAACCACTTTTTGAAACTTTAACAAACAAAATAACAGTTAAAAATACACAAACAATATTTTATTTTAAATTTCTAAATGTTATAAGTTTAGAAAGTGATTATTGATTTTTGTGTGAAAAATTAATCGTGTTAAATTTAATTTATAAATGATTTAATAAGTTTCACATTCAATGGCATTAATACAGTCTATACTACTGGCGCCGACATTGCCCTTATTGGCACTGTTGGCGACCGTACTGTCCGTTTGGTTTGCGATATTTTATCGCCGTTTCCGGAAAGTAGTCAAACAGATTGACGCCATACCCGGCCCTCCCGTACCCAACATACTGACAGGTCATTTGCAGTTTTTTAGGCAGGGCTCCGGTAAATCCGATTGGTTTCAACGTAAGTCAATAAAACGTTTTATTTGTTGCCATACAGTATTAATTTAAATGTTTTAAGTAGTATATTTTGCTAAAAGTACAAGGTTACTGTACTACCAATTCAATCTAAAATAATATAATATATTTTATTTAAATATATATTATATATTCTAAAATATATTATATATTCTAAAATAAATTATATATTTTCAAATAAATTTAATTAAGTCAAACATAAATTATATAATTTTTATGTAGTTAAATAAAATATTTAACACTAATTGATTTTGCTAAGGTTGTTAGGTGGAGTTGTAGAATTTGTAAATTTTTAATTTTATAAAGTTATCATACATATACCTTGTAAATTAAACTGTAAAAATATATTTTTGAAATTCTTACCCTATTATAATAAAACGGATTATATGTTCTTCGGTTGTGAAGCAATTTGCTCTATAGTATACTATTCACCTTGCTTATATTTTTAAACTAGAAATATTCAACACTTTTGTCGGTATAACGAAGTTATATCAACAGAAAAATGAGGGCATTATGAGAATATGGGTGGGACCCACGCAACCTGTGGTTATTATATTTGATGCTGAATTAGCCGAGGTAATTTATAAAAAATAACTGAATTTGTACAATAAATTAATACTTAATAAATATAATTTACAGGTACTGTTAACAAGTAATACAAACATCGATAAATCACCTGAGTACGATTTCGCCGTACCATGGTTGGGTCTAGGATTGTTCACTAGGTATGTGTGCGGGTTGAATTATAAAATATTTTCAACAACAAAAATGTAAACTCAAAATTTAATAACCCCTGATTATATTTTATCATCTATTTATAACTTATGCCAAACGCATATATTTAAATTACAGTTTAAATGAATTTTTAAAAAATCTTTGTTAATAAACTTTAACGTGCTTAAATTCTTATTTCAATAATATATATATATATAATATAATTATTATATTATAATTTAAATTCATTATAGAAATTTATTTTTAAGCAATGCTTATAAATTTTAAAATTTAAAGTTAATTACAGTCTACGAAAACAATATTAAACCCTTATGTGCATGCATATTAAATTTATTTTTTAATGCTGCTTTTTGTATTCATGTCAATCAATTATAACAAATATCCTTGGCCCTTTATTCAATAGTACGGGTGACCGATGGCGAGGGCACCGGAAGATGTTAACCCCGGCCTTCCACTTCCGAATACTGGAGAGTTTTGTGCCTATAATTAATAAACAGCAACAGATTATGATGAAGATTATCGACGATATGTACGCCAAACACGACGGTGTGGTGGACGACGTGAGGCCGTTGATCACGAACTGCGCCCTCGATATTATTTGCGGTGAATATATAATGTGTAAACTAATAGGGGGTAGTAAATAAAACACTATGGTTACCTTGCTGCGATGTTATACTGTAGTATTAGTGTAAATACTGTAGTATTGTTATAGGAAAGCAGAGTTGAAATTCGTGTATTGTTTTGATATTGTTGATTTATAACAGTAATTATTAACTTTACATAATTATTTATTAGTAATCAATACAAACTGTAATGCTCGCAGAAAATGTATTCTAGTTTTAAAATAAGATTTATAATAATTAAACTTGGTAGGTATAAGTAAAGGCATTCAATTTATAATTTTAGAAATTAAGTATAATATCTATTCAGTTAAACTGTAATATTATAATAACATAATTCTAGTTGTAAAATTAGTTGTTCATAAAAATTAACATGGTTGGATTAAAAAGTCTACTTTTTTAAAATTAAGTAAAAATTTTTACACAATTAAAACAGATTACTGTAACATTTTTATAACTTAATTCTAGCTGTAAAGTTTATAAAATCTTATAAAATATTTGTTGGAAAAAATATTACGACTATAGAGACTGCGATGGGTGTGAGTATTGACGCCCAAACTGATCCGGAGTCTAAATACTCGAAAGCCGTGCGCAAAGTACTCGACTTGTTTACCGTACGTTTCCTATCGCCGTGGCTGTGGAACGACACCCTATTTCAGTTGACACCCACCGGCTTTGAACAAAGGAAAACCATTAAATATTTGCACGATTTCACCGATGCTGTAAGAAACACCTTGCTTATAAATAAGTTTAATCAAAATATAATGTTGCCTAAACAATTCTCATAAATGTATTATTATATAGTTCTTAATGTACTCCAAAATATTTTAAGTTTACAAACTATTTTAACAACTCTTTTCATTCGTTACAATTTGCGTTACAGTTTCTTTGCTAGATAAATTAATTACTAACATACAAATTACTTACAAAAAATCGCATTAGGAAAGTTAATTATGGTACCTTCTCATTAATAGAGTAGCAAAAAATCAAAATATTTACATTTAACATGCAAAATGTTTTAAAAATACTAATGAACAAGTAAAAATATATGAAACAATAGGTAATTAAACGCAAAAAGGCGGAAATTATACAACGACTTAAAGGGAATGGTGGTTCGGCATCGGGTGCTAACATAGACGAGACTATGAATGATATTGGCACTAAACGCGTGTTGGCTTTCCTTGATAACTTATTGACGCAAAATATTAAAAATCCCGAACAGTTTACGGAACGGGATATCCGGGCAGAAGTGGACACATTCATGTCGGCCGGTCAGGACACCTCGTCGGCCACCACACAGTTCGCCCTACAATTGATAGGTCACTATCCGGACGTACAGGTGGGCCATAATATTTACAAATATTTATTAAAACTGTACAATGTTAATTACATGTTTTTAATTAGCTAGTTAATAGATTAAAAATTAGTACCCTAGTTGCACCTTATTTTTAAACAATGATGAATACTGTAGTTTAAATAAGTTTACGGTTATTTATTTGAATTGTGATTTCCCTATAGAGATTTGTATTTTATCTACATACAATAATTTAAAAAATATTTTTAAATAACTCTTAATTATTTTTATCGTAACTAATTTATAAAATAAATAATTACTATTTTATCTAATTTTATTATTAACAAATAAGTAAACATTATTAATTATATTATAATATTTTAAACAAATTTAAACTTATAATTTTGAAAAATATAAATTAAGAACTGTAAAATATTAATTATATATTTTCTATTAGATTGCTAATAGATTGTAAATATTAATAAATGGGCTGTAACTGAACCCCTTACACGTTGCTCATATTATTTTAAATAATTCATACTAAATTTTATCAATGTTAATTTATGAAATGACAACAATAATAATAATAATAATAATATAAGTTTAATTTAACTTAATAATTGGCTTTAATATAATAATAATTGGCGATAAATTTAATTTAATTTAATAATTTCAAACAATTTTAGGCTAAAATACACGAAGAGCTGGACACTATTTACGGTGACAATCCTACCAGGGACATTAAATTTGATGACCTGCGTCAAATGAAATATCTGGAAAAGTGCATTAAGGAGGCCCTCCGTATATACCCGCCGGTGCTGTTTATCTCACGGAAGATTACCGAGGAGTTCAAGATTAAAGACTATACCATACCTAAGGGCACCAACTGTATGGTACTATTTTATCAATTGCACCGGGATCCCAAATACTTTCCCAATCCCGAGGTGTTTGACCCTGAACGTTTTTCAGCCGATAGCACTAATACTAGGCACGCGTTCGCGTACACGCCGTTCAGTGCCGGACCACGTAATTGTATCGGACAAAGGTAGTGTACTAGTTACATTTTTATTACAACTAGTAATTTATATTTATTTTTTTAGTCATTTTATTTATGAACTGTAATTTAACATTTAGCATAAATATTAAAGTTTATTAGTTGTATGATAGATTATTTTATTGGTGGTACTATGTAATACCTAATATTTTTTTTGATATACAGGTTCGCCTTACAAACTGTGAAAGCATTGTTAGCATCCATATTACGTAAATATCGTATTACGTCCCTGGTGCCATTGGACAAGGTCGAGTTAGCCATCGGTACTACTATGGGTCCCAAAAATAAAATCACTTTGAAGTTTGAGCTTCGCGAATAAAATTTATAAAAATATTTTTATAAGTTAATACGTTGCATGTTAAAAAGTAAATTTAAATTTATATATTATACAGTTTTAAAACATAAAATTTAATGTGATCCATAAAATCTATAATATTGATATTATCTAGTTTAAAGTATTTTATATTATTAGAATTTATTATGTATTTGTTGAAATATTTGCTATTCACAAATAAAAGTTTAAAAAGCTAAATATTTTATAACAATAAAATTTTACTTTTCAACTCACAATTTGCGACACAATTTGACCGATTATTGTCTTCGGTATTATATGCGGACAAAATTGCAATTATTGTTTCGGACAGTAATAG